TCCTCAGCAGCTCAACAGATTTATATAACATGTTACTGAAACACACACAAAGGTCCTCAGCAGCTCAACAGATTTATATAACATGTTACTGAAACACACACAAAGGTCTTCAGCAGCTCAACAGATTTATATAACATGTTACTGAAACACACACAAAGTTCCTCAGCAGCTCAACAGATTTATTTAACATGTTAATGAATCTACAACTTCTATAATTATTGAAGGTTACATTACTATTAAGTATAGCAGCAGGACACGTACCGTTTTATCCGGTAATAAACCCATGCTTTGTAATAAGCCCACCATTACATACTAAAGTTAGGAAGAAATGCCAACAAAAGCTCGTTCATTGTCCTGTAATAAGCCCACCCACCTACTTTCAGTCAGAGATGATGGGTTGTCCTGTAATAAGCCCACCCACCTACTTTCAGTCAGAGATTATGTGTTATCCTGTAATATGCCAGATCCCTACTTTCAGTCAGAGATGATGTGTTGTCCTGTAATAAGCCCAACCACCTACTTTCAGTCAGAGATGATGTGTTGTCCTGTAATAAGCCCACCCACCTACTTTCAGTCAGAGATTATGTGTTATCCTGTAATATGCCAGATCCCTACTTTCAGTCAGAGATGATGTGTTGTTCTGTTATAAGCCCACCCACCTACTTTCAGTCATAGCTGTCTGAAGTATAGATATGTTGGGAGATTCTAAATAGCTGTCTGAAGTTTAGATATGTTGGGAGATTCTAAATAGCTGTCTGAAGTATAGATATGTTGGGAGATTCTAAATAGCTGTCTGATGTATAGATATGTTTGGAGATTCTAAATAGCTGTCTGAAGTATAGATATGTTGGGAGATTCTAAATAGCTGTCTGAAGTATAGATATGTTCGGAGATTCTAAATAGCTGTCTGAAGTATAGATATGTTCGGAGATTCTAAATATCAGACTTGTTGGGGTCATTACTTACAGTATTGGCTCTGTGTCTTCTTGTCCTTACTGGCAATGTCGGTTTTCAGTTTCTCCTAAAAAAATAGAATTTAAAAGTGAATCAAACCATAACATACATCAACTTTAAACAATAAACTGAAGTACATTCTAAACATGCACTGGTACCTCGCGCTGGTATCTCGCGCTGGTACCTCTGATTTTTAAAAGATGAAACACAAAATATAGGTCACAGTGACCTAGCTGCAATTTATATTAATAGTCATTAAGATGAAACCACATAAAGTCTGATGATTGTTGGACTTCTATCATAAGTGTTACGTAGCTAAACTTGATCTTCTAGTATAAAAGTTATGTAGCTAAACCTAAGACTTCTATTATGAGTTATGAAGCCTAATTTAGACTTCAAGTATAAAAGTTATGTAGCTAAACTTGGTCCTCTAGTATAAGAGTTATGTAGCTAGTTATGTAGCTAAACTTGGACTTCTAATATATGAGTTATGTAGCTAACCGTGGACTTCTATCATAAGAATTATGTAGCTAAACTTGGTCCTCTAGTATAAGAGTTATGTAGCTAAACTTGGATTTCTATCATAAGAGTTATGTAGCTAAACTTGGACTTCTAGTATAAGAGTTATGCAGCTAAACTTGGACTTCTAGTATAGGAGTTATGTAGCTAAACTTGGTCCTCTAGTATAAGAGTTATGTAGCTAAACTTGGATTTCTATCATAAGAGTTATGTAGCTAAACTTGGACTTCTAGTATAAGAGTTATGTAGCTAAACATAGACTTCTAGTATAAGAGTTATGTAGCTAAACTTGGACTTCTAGTATAAGAGTTATGCAGCTTAACTTGGACTTCTAGTATAAGAGTTGTGTAGCTAAACTTGGACTTCTAGTATAAGAGTTATGTAGCTAAACTTGGCCTTCTAGTATAAGAGTTGTGTAGCTAAAGTTGGACTTCTAGTAAAAGAGTTATGCAGCTAAACTTGGCCTTCTAGTATAAGAGTTATGTAGCTAAACTTGGACTTCTAGTATAAGAGTTATGTAGCTTAACTTGGACTCCTAGTATAAGAGTTATGTAGCTAACCTTGGACTTCTATCATAAGAATTATGTAGCTTAACTTGGTCTTCTAGTATAAGAGTTATGTAGCTAAATTTGGACTTCTAGTATAAGAGTTGTGTAGCTAAACTTGGTCCTCTAGCATAAGAGTTATGTAGCTAAACTTGGACTTCTAGTATAAGAGTTATGTAGCTTAACTTGGACTTCTAGTATAAGAGTTATGTAGCTAACCTTGGACTTCTATCATAAGAATTATGTAGCTTAACTTGGTCTTCTAGTATAAGAGTTATGTAGCTAAATTTGGACTTCTAGTATAAGAGTTGTGTAGCTAAACTTGGTCCTCTAGCATAAGAGTTATGTAGCTAAACTTGGACTTCTAGTATAAGAGTTATGTAGCTTAACTTGGACTTCTAGTATAAGAGTTATGTAGCTAACCTTGGACTTCTATCATAAGAATTATGTAGCTTAACTTGGTCTTCTAGTATAAGAGTTATGTAGCTAAATTTGGACTTCTAGTATAAGAGTTGTGTAGCTAAACTTGGTCCTCTAGTATAAGAGTTATGTAGCTAAACTTGGACTTCTAGTATAAGAGTTATGTAGCTTAACTTGGACTTCTAGTATAATAGTTATGTAGCTAACCTTGGACTTCTATCATAAGAATTATGTAGCTAAACTTGGTCTTCTAGTATAAGAGTTATGTAGCTAAACTTGGTCCTCTAGTATAAGAGTTGTGTAGCTAAACTTGGTCCTCTAGTATAAAAGTTATGTAGCTAGTTATGTAGCTAAACTTGGACTTCTAATATATGAGTTATGTAGCTAACCTTGGACTTCTATCATAAGAATTATGTAGCTAAACTTGGTCTTCTAGTATAAGAGTTATGTAGTTAAACTTGGTCCTCTAGTATAAGAGTTGTGTAGCTAAACTTGGTCCTCTAGTATAAGAGTTATGTAGCTAGTTATGTAGCTAAACTTGGACTTCTAGTATAGGAGTTGTGTAGCTAAACTTGGACTTCTAGTATAAGAGTTATGTAGCTAAACTTGGTCTTCTAGTATAAGACTTATGTAGCTAAACATAGACTTCTAGTATATGAGTTATGCAGCTAAACTTGAACATCTAGTATAAGAGTTATGAAGCTAAACTTGGACTTCTAGTATAAGAGTTGTGTAGCTAAACTTGGTCCTCTAGTATAAGACTTATGTAGCTAAACATAGACTTCTAGTATATGAGTTATGCAGCTAAACTTGGACTTCTAGTATAAGAGTTATGTAGCTAAACTTGGACTTCAAGTATAAGAGTTATGTAGCTAAACTTGGTCTCCTAGTATAAGAGTTATGCAGCTAAACTTGGACTTCTAGTATAAGAGTTATGTAGCTAAACTTGGACTTCTAGTATAAGAGTTGTGTATCTAAAGTTGGACTTCTAGTATAAGAGTTATGCAGCTAAACTTGGCCTTCTAGTATAAGAGTTATGTAGCTAAATTTGGACTTCTAGTATAAGAGTTATGTAGCTTAACTTGGACTTTTAGTATAAGAGTTGTGTAGCTAAACTTGGTCTTCTAGTATAAGAGTTATGTAGCCAAACTTGGACTTCAAGTATAAGAGTTGTGTAGCTAAAGTTGGACTTCTAGTATAAGAGTTATGCAGCTAAACTTGGCCTTCTAGTATAAGAGTTATGTAGCTAAATTTGGACTTCTAGTATAAGAGTTATGTAGCTTAACTTGGACTTTTAGTATAAGAGTTATGTAGCTAAACTTGGTCCTCTAGTATAAGAGTTATGTAGCTAAACTTGGACTTCAAGTATAAAAGTTATGTAGCTAAACTTGGACTTCAAGTATAAGAGTTATGCAGCTAAACTTGGCCTTCTAGTATAAGAGTTATGTAGCTAAATTTGGACTTCTAGTATAAGAGTTATGTAGCTCAACTTTGACTTCTAGTATAAGAATTGTGTAGCTTAAGTTGGACTTCTAGTATAAGAGTTATGTAGCTAACTCAGAATCTACACAAGATGTGGTAATAACAGACAGTTAGATTGACGGCCCGATAGAAAAAGACGTGTTACTGACAGACAGATGGCAAAACAAACACTTCATGCACTCTCGTGACTTGTGGCACTACATCTGATCCAGTCAAATATGCATGTTATTCATAATGTTGACCTTCGACCTGTCTAATAAATGTTGATATATTTTTAGTCGATATTTGATGTTACTTCCATTTTCTTGTTTCTTCACCTTGAACTTTACCAATAATCTCTACTCAGTCACTTTGTTTTCTTAGCTCGTGCCAAACTTCTATATTCTGTTGACCTTTGAACTATATTTTGTCGTCTGTAGTCTTTTGCTGGTCCTGACCTTGTCACGGCCAGTCACTCAGAGTTACTGTTCCAGTACACAGCCAGGGAGTCCTGTCAGACCTTTTATAGACTGTGTTGACCTTTGACCTACAAGTATCAGGGCCTTGTCTGTGCCGTCCAGACACTTAAAGTCACTGTTGTAGTACAAGGCCAGGGAGTCCAGTCTGATCTTTTATAGACTGTGTTGACCTTTGACCTACCAGTATCAGGGCCTTGTCTGTGCCGTCCAGACACTTAGAGTCACTGTTGTAGTACACGGCCAGGAAGTCCAGTCTGACCTTTTATATATTGTTTGACCTTTGACCTACAAGTATCAGGGCCTTGTCTGTGCCGTCCAGACACTTAGAGTCACTGTTGTAGTACACGGCCAGGGAGTCCAGTCTGACCTTTTATATACTGTGTTGACCTTTGACCTACCAGTATCAGAGCCTTGTCTGTGCCTTCCAGACACTAAGAGTCACTGTTCCAGTACACAGCCAGGGAGTCCAGTCTGACCTTTTATATATTGTTTGACCTTGACCTACCAGTATCAGGGCCTTGTCTATGCCGTCCAGACACTTAAAGTCACTGTTGTAGTACAAGGCCAGGGAGTCCAGTCTGACCTTTTATATATCGTTTGACCTTTGACCTACAAGTATCAGAGCCTTGTCTGTGCCCTCCAGAAACTTAGAGTCACTGTTCCAGTACACAGCCAGGGAGTTCAGTCTGACCTTTTATATATTGTTTGACCTTTGACCTACAAGTATCAGGGCCTTGTCTATGCCGTCCAGACACTTAAAGTCACTGTTGTAGTACAAGGCCAGGGAGTCCAGTCTGACCTTTTATATATTGTTTGACCTTTGACCTACCAGTATCAGAGCCTTGTCTGTGCCCTCCAGACACTTAGAGTCACTGTTCCAGTACACAGCCAGGACGTCCAGTCTGACCTTTTATATATTGTTTGACCTCCCAGGCTAAAAAAAGGTACATTGAGGCATGCCTATTTCATGCCTTTTTCATGCCTAAAATGTACCTTTGGCCCGAGATACATTTTAGGCATACCTAAAATGTACCTCTACTTCTGGGGTATTTTTAAAGTATACCTCAAATGTGCCCCGTTTGGACTCTAATTTTATCAATGTGCCTCAAATGTGCCCCATTTGAACTCTGATTTTTCACATGTGCCACTTTTAGACTTTGATTATTTTTAACGTACCTCAAATGTGCCCCATTTGAACTTGTTCTCAATACTGCAAAATTGCCCATTTCAAATATGTTCTTTTCAGCTTCTTTTTTTCAGATTTGACATATACTTATAATGATTTTTTTTATATATAAAATTAACCATCAATATGTCTTTTTTGAATGCCATTTGCAAAATAAAAATTATATAACAAGCTAAACGAATGAATAAATAAACTTGAATTCTGTGAATTTACATGGTCTAATTCAGAGACATGTAAAGCCACGTATCTGTCTTATATAAAACAGAAAATTCATAAAACACATTTCTGTTTCAGTCATTGTTGCATTTAACTTTCAGTCCCAACAGCTAGAAAGACATTATTGAAAGATTTCAACGACACATTAGAGTGACATATTTATTAAAATGTAAAACGAAAACAATTAAACTACACAATGGGAGTTTAAAAAAAATCGGTCATGTCTTAGACGCTACGAAATACTCTGCAAACTGTTGAACTCTAAAGTAGTAACTACAAGCGTGTGTTTATACCTTGTATTTTTATTTCTTGAACTGATGTTTGAAAACGTGTCGGAAAGATCGTAGGAATGTTAAAATCGTGTTTGGCTTCGTTGTGCAAGACTTCGTTTTTCTTTTCGACGTCGATGTATTTTCGTCAGCGAACAGCCAACATTAAGACGGCGCTTCAAACAATATACTAGTGTTATATTGTTGATGTGATACGGGACTCTTTTAATTTCCAAGTTAATTGCATTGTGAACGAGCCATTTATACCGAGTCCGCCGATGCCATGTGAAGCCATAACCCGGAAGTATATTTGAGAATAGAGAAAACGCGCGGACTCATTGCGTACGACACAACGTGCCTATAGACCCTCTATCTGTCACTTTCACTTAATATAGTAATTATATCATTCACAAATACGATAAAATGGGAAGGGGCTGGAAAGTAACGCGAAGACGTGAATAGTTCAATCGTCATTCCTCGTATGTAAACAACTATTTTCCCATGATGCAATTCCATTTAATTAGCCAATCACATCAAAGCGGGAAATTTATTCATCATTTGATTCAACTTTGACCCACGACCTATATGCAGCGAATGTAAACAACCTGGTCGATCTCAAAACGCTTCAATTTTACGGTAGTATTTTCATGTTATGCTGGAGTTAACCGGTATCCAGTCTCTGAGAACAAGACATTGAATGGTGAAGTCAGAACAGAATGTGTTTTCTACACAAACGGCGACGAAATCGATTCATTTATCCCAGACCTCGCCGGCAAACATGGCGGCCATTACGTAAGTTTACATGTGAAAATTTCGTGAAAATTTCGTCAATGTAACTTTTAATTGTTTTGACAAAAATATAGATCAAATACTTCAACCAATTGGTCATGTTCATAAGAGATTATTCTTCATTGTTTTTCAGCTCATCGGTGACAACCGTGCTATATAGCTTCTGCACTCCCGGGGCCGCGGCACCCACTTGGAAAATTTAAAAAGTTTTGAGGCAAGTTTTCAATGTTTTTGACTACACAAGTCTCTATGAATCCGTTCGGAGTTTGGGGTGTGATACAATAACAGTTTAACGCTTTAAATGTTTGTATTGTTTTCAAAATTTCAGCGTGCTGATAATCGTCAAAACTTTTTTAAGTGATTTTATTTTAACGTTTTAGGGTAGTTCAACATTTTGAAATTAATTCTTACTACAAACAATGTGTGTGAAATAATGTTTCATTAAATGTTAAAATTACTCGTTTTCTTTCACATTTTGCTTTTGGTTTTTGATTTTGGATATTTCTCAATTGACTCCATCGAAATATTATAAATATTATTCCTTATATTTCAATGACATTTTTTTCTTCTTTTTATACACCAGTCAAACCCCTCTATATCTTCAAAATTGCAGTTTCAATTAATTGCAGATCATCACAAATTTTCTTCTGATATATTATTCCAATAATTACAGCAGACATGTACTTGCTTAGTTATTTTTATCATGTTACATCATAATCTAATTTTCATACAATCTTTGCTTGTTATGTGCATACACATCCCTGTATACGTACATTTAAATTTTCAAGATATTCTTTTTATCATATATTTTCAATATTTTATTTTATGATCATTATGGACTGTCTGTATCACTCAGAAAAAAGGAAAGGAAAAAAAGTTTTCTTGAAATTTTAGCCTGATAAAAAATTAGTTAAAAAATATTTTATTAATATGATTGATTAGTCAGTAAGTTTTTCAAACTTATAGATGACTTCTCCAAATAGGTCACGTGATGGCATGAAAGATGATATATTCATTAAGAAACAAACAAATTGATGAAACATATCACAGTGAATTCGGGGAAGAGGGAGAGAGAAAGGGGGGTGAGGGTTTAAATAGAGAACAGAGATTTAATCAAATCTTCCTGACTTACCTAAATAAAATATAGTGTTGTTATATATGTCTATACACATTGAAAAATCTTAAAAGTTCAGACTGAAAGGATTTCCCAGAATACGGAGATTTCATCTAGGGTCTAGTAGAGTTCTTTTTTCTCTCCCTCCTTTAATTTCCCTGGCGCAACACGCCTCAGACGCTCGACCCCCTGTTATAGCATACAATCCAAAAATTGATTTACTTTGCCACAGTGTCATTTTTTGAGTAGTTATTTAATAACAAATAAAGAAATTATTTTGTTTTGGTACTATATGGGAAATCTTGCTAACCTCTCTATTCATTATTGATATGAAATATTATCATACTTTCACTTAAGTCCCTCTTGATTGTTAATCGTAGGATGTAAATCAAACATAACATCTTGTACCGGATTCAGTGGTGTTGTTGCTCATCATTTCTACTTTCATTTGCTCTGTTAATCAAATAGTTTGATTATGTGAAAGAGCAGGATATATACTTATTTCTTGATTTTCTTTCACTTAGAACCTTCAGATGCTGAAGGACCTTCATTAAACCAACAGAAAGATATGGACGTCACAGATGGTAATTTTCATTTAATTTTTGGTCACCATGCAAAGGGGATGTGGTCGTACATATTTTAGCAATATTATCTTAGCACATACAAACTAAATTCTGGGTCTGCAGCTGAATACTTTCAATGTTATGAGCCCTGATCTTTTTTCTTTGCCTTTCTGAACATTATGGCCAATTACATTATCCTAGATTTTAGGGTGTGTAGGCCTAGGCCTATCATTGTTCCTACACATGTTTACATCATCAGACGCAGTCAAAATACTTTACTGATACTTGCATTTGTAACAAAGAGGGGATAGCAATAACATAAACAAAGTGATGTTCCCTCCCTTCATTATAGAGTTATGTCCCCTCCTTTGACTTGTTCACACTATTCCTCTCAAAGTACTGCACCAATATACTTAATAAGCATTTCATTCTAACTGATGATTTGTGAATTATATATAAAGTCAACTCCCATATTCATAGAAATATTTTTCCGTTTGTTTAAAAAATAAATTCACTACTCCTTCCACATTATTTCACCAATTTAAGTGATACCTTTTATACAATACAGTATATATAAATCGGGGGTCCTCTCCCAATTATAGAGTTATGTCCCTTTGTTTAAAAAACTGTTTGTATTACTCCCGAGGTACAATGAAAATGAGACTGGTATTCCGCCATATATATATTTATGCATGGCCTTTATTTCAATTTTCATACCAAAATATATTTAAGTGCTGTTGATCTGATTGCTTCAATTTTAAACCTTGTTGTATATATATATATGCCCTATATATATATATATATTTACATGTATGTATAATTACTTAATTTATTCAAACCTGACAAGCAATTCATAAACTATTACATTTTCCTTTACTTTGTTATTGAGTTAACTTGATCATTATTTTTTTCCAGTATAATCCCTCCTGAATTGCCAGAAGATTGTGACCCTATCCGCCACCATCAGAAGCTTAATGAGGACAGTTACAGTACTTCCTGACTTAAGTTGGGCATATATGTCTCATAATAAAGTTTCATAGACTTTTTATATATATTTGCCCGATTATTTTTGACACATGCACATCATCACATGTTCATATTAAATTCTTTCTTCTGTACAAAGGTCCCAGAGACAACAAATGATTGAACTTCAATACTCCATCTAGTTTTGCAATTTAAACATTATGTTTATTAAGCCCAAAAACCTCTTTTGATTTATGAACAGATGAAGAGGTATAACTGTAAGGGATTGTCCCATTTATATTATTTTATGATGTGTTTGTATATATATATTTCTATGAAGCAAATTTGAATAAATTTAAAATATCGAAAGTTTGTATCCCATTTAGTAATTGTTAACAAATTTTTAAATATTTCAATTTACATGCAAAAGATTTCATCAGTAATAATTGTCTTCAAGTTACTTCATTACTTTTTAGATTATCACTTTGTCAGTGTGTTGATCTGTCTATATTATATAGGTTCTAATTTATTTAACTTATGATTATTTATATTTGTACTGTGTCAACTAGAAATCAGTAAATGTATCACAATAAAATATTGTTTGCAAAAATTTTGACTAGTTATTTTCTGAAAAAGTTAGCAGGGATAGTAGGAATTTAATGCCAGTAAGGATAGATATTTTTTAGGCATACCTTAAATGTACCTCGTATCAAGGCACATTTCAGGTATACCTCAGTCAGAGGTACGATTTAGGCACATTTTAGGTATACCTCTGACTGAGGTATGATTTAGGCACATTTTAGGTATACGT